AGATGCAGAGGGGAGAGGGAGCCCGCTGAAGGAAAAGGGGACCTTGGAAGCAGATGTACCTTGGTTTCAGTCTTTGCTACTCCCTAGGCATGTTATTAACCTTTCTGAAGTGTTTCCTCATTCAAGTGGACATAATAATGGTACCCATATCCTGGAGGGCATGAAATGGGTGTGGAAGCTGCCAACTAGTGACCAGCATGCTAGATATGAGCTTGCTGTCGTTTCCCCTGGCATGAATGAAGAATTGCTCTCTCCAGGATTGTCTACCCTTTAGCCACAGCATTGCCGTCAGTCTGAGAAGTCTAAGCTCTTGAAAAGAGCTGGTGATGGTGGTGAACTACAAGGAAACGGTCCCATCTTACAGATTCCTTCATTGCTTGCTTTGTACCTCTAGGTCTGTGACAGCAGCAGGCACTGCCACTGTGAGGAGGGCTGGGCACCTCCTGACTGCATGACTCAGCTCAAAGGTAGCTAGGCGATGGGCCCAGGGCACTGGGGAGGGTGAAATGGCTTCATCCATTACCTTTCTCTTTGGTCCTCTTCCTGGCCCCTTCACACTAGTTCCTTGACTCTGTGACCCCTGATACTGTCTTTGGTCTCTGAGCACTTCACATGCTCCCTGCTTCTCCCTCAGCAGAGAATCCTTAGCCGTACCCATCCTCAGTGTTGACCTCTTTCCATAGCAACCAGCTCCCTGACCACGGGCCTGCTCCTCAGCCTCCTGTTGTTATTGGTCCTAGTCCTCCTTGGTGCCAGCTACTGGCACCGTGCCCGCCTGCATCAGCGACTCTGCCAGCTCAAGGGATCCAGCTGCCAATATAGGTATGAACATCCCTTCCCTGCTGTTATTTCCTTCAATTAAGGACAGTTCTGAAGCCCCTTCTTCTTCTTTTTTTTTTTTTTTTTTTTTTTTGGGTTTTCCCAGACAGGGTTTCTCTGTGTAGCTTTGGAGCCTATCCTGGTACTTGCTCTGGAGACCAGGCTGGCCTCGAACTCACAGAGATCCACCTGCCTCTGCCTCCTGAGTGCTGGGATTAAAGGTGTGCGCCCAGCCCGAAGCCCCTGCTTCCAAAGGCCCAAGCCATGCAGTCCTTACCACCTGTGTCTAAATCCCAAAGTCTCAGACCCTGGGTTTTTGACCATCATTCCTATATGCCTGTCTACCATGTTTATGTGTATCCCTAAACTTCACTCACAGGTATCCCCCAGGCGCTAGGGCCACTTCACTCAGGACCCCAAAGCAGGGGAAAGGTGGTTTTCTTCCAGGCTGTCCAACGGCACCCCTGGCCTAAACCACACAAAGCTACCCTCCAAAGACTAAAGGGTTCATTTATCCTGGATCAGCAGGTCCCATTCTCTCTTTGGCTTTCTCAGGGCAGCCCAACCAAATCCTCCTGAACGGCCAGGACCTCCACAGAGGGCACAGCAGATGCCAGGCACTAAGGTAAGCCCTGGATGCCAGAGCAAACAGAGTCCACAGTACAGGGTACCTACCTCGGGCCTAGAGGTGGCACTAGAGTTTCAAGAGGAGTGCTCAGTCAGTCCAAGGAGTCAGGACCAGCAGGAGGCAGAGAAACGGCCAGAGTACAGCAAGATGGCTGAGCGAGTCTCTTGCAGAGCTCTTTCAGCTGGCCAAATTGGTAGCTTGGAGAGGTGGTTCTATCCATACCCATCAGCAACCAGTAACATGGGATAATGGGGTGGTGTGCTCAAGGGCCTCCTGTGTGCTAAGATCTGACAAGGCACAGGACATCATGTGTGAAAGGATGCCGCGTGCCCAGGGCCTAAGCCCTCCACCTTCAATGTGTGTGTGGAGTCAGCCTGCATGTCCCCTCCATTACATGTCACGCCCCTGCATGTGGCTGAGTAACTTCCCACTGCCTCTGGGCCCCTGCTGCCCTTGTCTGAACACTAACCCCTTTCTGCCCACATCTGTCTGTTTCTCCTGCCCACTCTGCCTGCTCCTCCTGCCCTCTCAGCCAGCTAGTACGTGCATCTTTCCGGTGCCCCCCTCCAGGCCGCTGCCACCTAACCCTGTGCCCAAGAAACTCCAGGTAAATCTGGGCTGGGCCTTGCCCTGGCTCAGGACAGGTGGGAGGCTAGGTGCCCAATCCCAGTTCTCACCCCTGCTTCCCCCCAGTGGAGACGAGGGTGCCCCCTCAGCCTTCAAAGTCCCAGACACAGCAAAGGGTGAGCCTCCTGCCGTGGTCTCTACTACCACCTGGTGGTCAATAGTAGGACTACATCCATCCAGGGACTTGATTGATCTGCATCTTCCTTCCCCGAGGCTCCTGTCTATTGGCAAGCACCCAAAGCCCCCTGAGCATGCTCCCTGGCTCCCTTCACCCCCTGGCTGACTTTGCATGCTGACCCCTGGGGAGCCTCTGCACGCCCACCACCTCTGACTGTGCTTTCAGAGCCACCACTGCTCTCTTTGTTCAGGCTGAGCTGGCTGACAGATCCAATCCCCCCACTCGCCCTCTGCCCGCTGACCCTGTGGTGAGGCACCCAAAGGTAACAGTGAGGGGAAACAGGACATTGCCTCTCCCACCTAGAGCCATGGTGGCAATGGCAAGATGCCTCCCTCTGTGCCTGAGGGCATGTAGCCCAAAGGCACCTTAGGGAGTGACAGATTTGTTTGGAGACAAAGGTGAACATTAGCACTGCTCCTTCAACCCCTCCATTGAGGGTGGGAACCATGACATTCTTCTACACTGGCCTTCTTCCTTAGTCTCAGGGGCCTACCAAACCCCCACCTCCAAGAAAGCCACTGCCTGCCAACCCACAGGGCCGGCACCCATCAGGTGACCTGCCTGGCCCAGGAGATGGAAGCATGCAGCTGGTGGTGCCCTCCAGGTAGGTGAGGAGGGCGTTGCTGGGGATCAGTGGGTGTCTTACTGTCAGTGAGGAGGCACCTAGGGCGAGAGTTGTAACTTTTTTTCTTGACTTTCTAAACTCCAGGCCAGCTCCACCACCCCCAGCAGTATCCTCGCTCTACCTCTGACCTCTCTGGAGGTTTGGTTGCCTCCTGCCCAGATTTAAGGCTTAAGGAAGTGAAATCTCTGTCCGACCTCGCACCCCAATGACTAGAGGAGCAGGAGCCTAGACAATGCAGTGTCCAGCCCTGAGGAACCATCCGCCATCAGGCGCTGCACCTGGCTGTTGGGGAGGGGTTGGGGTTGGAGTAGGTGGCGGGGGACTTGCCCACAGTCTGTCTCTGCTCTTTTGTAATAAATGTGAGGAATGTGACTCCTGGAAGCTGTGTAGTTCTGCTGTGTTTCCAGACCTGGCCACTAGGAGACGCTGCTGGGTCAGACCAGGACATGTTGGGGAGGATGACATCCCAGAAAGGGTCAACTAGAATTTGTCACTGGGGATACCTGTAGCTTGCTTCTGCCCAGTCTGGGATGGATGGCCTCTAGTTTCCAAGCTCCCTGCCAATGCTGTTCAGCCCCCACCGCAGCTATAGACACATGACCTAAGTCGTCAGACCTGCATCCCCACCCTCTGACCAGTGGCTGGGAAAATGGATCTAACTGGCTTTCTCAGAGCCCTGAGCCTGGGCGGAGCAGGGCAGCAGATGCTTGGATTCCAAGGCTTCACACCTGCCTCCTCCACCTCCCTGCCCCCACCTGAAGGCTCTAGAACAAAGGTGCTTTGTGCTTTGTACAGATCGCTACTACCTCATCACTTGGTCCTCGGGACTGAGGCCTCCTGGGAGAGAAGTGTGTGGGGATAAGGGGCAGGCTCTACTGCAAAGTGGTCACCCAGTATGGCACCTAAGGCGCTACAGGAATGGGGCTGTCCCCAGAGGCACTCCATGCCCTTCCTCTTGCAGCATCGTCTGGATGTGCAAAAAAAAAAAAAAAATTAAAAAAAATAAATAAAAGAGCAATGCATGGAAGATAATTCTGCTTCAGCCTCCAAAAATACCCGGGGTTTTAGGGACTGGACATTGTGTATGTGTGTGTGCGCGCCGGTGTGAACTATCTTGTGTATCAAGCTGGCTGGAACTCAGGGTTCTCCCAGTGCTGAGATTGTGGATGGAATTGCATATGCAGTCCAGATTTGGCTTCCCAGGCGTTCAATAAGGCTTTACCTTGAACTAACGCAGACACAAAAGATCTGAACAAAACAAAACCCAACCCTCTCAGGTGGTGGAGCATGAGTGTATGGCTGTATGTAATCCCAGCACTGGGGAGGTTGGGGCAGGAGGATTACTGCCAGTTAGAGGCCATCTTGGGTTACAATATAAAGCTAGCCAGGCTTTAGGGTTAAGACCCTGTTTCAAACAAAGCACAATAAGGGCTTGGAGAGAGTGGTAAAGTGGTAAAACCTTGGTAAAGTGCTTACCTGAGTTAAGATCCCCAGCACGCAAGTAAAAAGCCCGCAGGTGTAGTGGTTTGTTTCTGTAACCCAACCGCGTGTGGGAGAGGGCAGGGTGGGGCAAGGAAACAGGAGGATCCCCCCCACCCCAAGCTTACAGGACTGCAAGCCTAGCCAATCAGCGAGCTCCGGGCTCAGTGAGAGACCCTGTCTCAAAAGAATAAGGTGGAAAGGGACAGAAGTGAGACCTCCGCCCCATGACAACTCGCACGAACACATACACACACATATAAAACAGAAACCAAAGACCTCAAAAAAAAAAAAAAAAACTCCTTAGTGAAATAGGTCCTTCTGCCACTCTCAGCGCAGTGAGATACAAAGGAAGCTTTGGTTAACCTGGCGCGCACTGGAACGCGCAAAGGGTTAACAGGAGTTGGCCCTGGGTGGAGAGGCGGAGACGAGTTTTCATTGGTGGAAAGTTATCCAGGGGCGTGGTCTTAAGAGTCTCCACACCCCACCTCCTTTCCGTAACCCCCCCGCCCCCTCCACTTTTGTACCTTTC